GCTATGCAGGCGCGTCGAAATTTTCGTTGAGTATCGAATTTTCTGTCGAACAGAATTTTGCATTCGATGGTGTAACGAAGTGTTAGAAAATTGTGAAAAATGTATGATTTTGTACATGTTTTCTTACATTTTGGCGGCTAGACACTAATTTTAAACAATTTTTATTAATTTCATGCAGTTCTAACATCGTGAATACTAAACACAAGCTCGAAAGGCTGGTTTTACTTGTGAAAGAAAATCGCAATGCTCTGTTGGCACGATCTCTGAGAACAAAATCGTAGCGCTGTTGATAGTTTTAAAATATTTTAAATAGATTTGGCTCACAAACGCCTCTTTAGATGGTCGGAACTTTTTAATGAATCTGTAGACAAATTTCTTAAATATATTTTATATCAAAATATATTCGAAAGACTAATAAACTTAAATGTTTAAGAGAGCATTTGCTACTCCTGGCCAGTTTACTAAGCTCTCATCCTCTGACGAATCGTTGAACCAGAACTCGTTGTACTCATTTTACCACGTTTTTATAAAATTGCTTTCTTTTTTACTTCATTTTAATTAGAACAAATTTGCATAAATATGTATAAGCACACTATTTAGTTTGCTCGATTTGTAAACAAAGCTTCTCAGCGCTGAAAAATATACTATTGTGAACAACCTAAACGAGCGAAATTCACAATAGCGCTATTCTTCATCGAATGAGCGCCATAATACCAAATGAAAATTCGTTCGCTCAGCACTTTCGACCACAGTCGAAAATCGAATGCAACTCATAATAGGGGCCTATGCCTCCTGGAGCCATCGAAACCTAAATTTTGACGTCAAAAAATCACATACATGAATGTGTATTTGAACCCTGCTAGCAAAAATAACAGATATCTCTCAGATATCTTTAAGATTTCCGGCCGATACCGATCGGAGAAAGGCATGGAGAGGTTGGCTGGAAATCTTACCGACACGTGGTTTGAAATTTAGAGCTATTTGCCGACGATTCTGGCGGCGTAAATAAATAAATACTAATTCAATAAATCTATTAGTGCGTGTTTTTGGAAAGTTAACATTTTATATTAAAAAGTTTTAAATTTTATATATTTTATTTTATACGGTTCTGAAAATTTTTCCGATTTTTCATTCCAAAAGTGTTTTATATATGAAAGATTTCAAATAAAAAATGGTCTGAATCGTCCCAAAGTTATGGGCATTTTCAAATATCGGTATCTCTAAAACGGCTGGACAGAGAAAGTTTAAAAATTCATGGAGACCTCTTTCAATTAGCATTTTAGGTATGTGTATGTATCACAGTGAAGAAATTTAAAAAGAAAAATTAAAACTTTCATCGCGTGTCAGATTAGCTCATGAGCACTTTGTTAGAAAAAGAGCACATAAAAGTTCTGAAATATGTACATACATACATAAATACATATGTACATATAATAGATTGTACATACTTTTTTGATTCATCTATTTTATGAATAGCCAGTTTCACGAAAGTAATTTAAGAGAAATATAAATTTTATTCGAATTTAATGTGAGAATAATAAAAATCATTTTTCCCTTAAATTGCTGTTGCGGCTTACTTAAACTGGAAAATGCTAGAAAATTTCAAAGTTTGGACTAAAGCCTTTCCAAAAAATTAATATGTATGTATATGTATGTAACTTAAATACCTAAACTGCTCTTTTAACACTAACAAATAACAAACGCTTGATTTCAGTTTGGATGTCGATCTTTTATTATTATTTTTTCTTTATTTTTTGTTTTTCGATTTTTTTTGTGTTTTTTTTTCAGTTTTATACAAAAAAAAATGAACACAAAACATATCACAGTTTCTTATCACAATTTATCATAAATCTAAATTTGCCTCGAACAGCAAAAATTTGCTCAGTAATAGAATTTAAATAAATTAAAATAGATTACTGCCAGCATTTTTTGTTGTTTTTCTAGCTTTTAGATCTATGACAAATACACATAAAATATCACAGACAGCCAACTTGCTTACATACTAGCTTTTTTTCTTAAAAAAAAAACAGCAATTACAGCAAATGGTTGCAATTGTGTATTTGTGTGGCCAAAGGTCACCACAATCACTTAATGAGAGAGAATATCACTGTTGAACCTGAGTGCCTGTAGAGCAGAGTGTTGTCGGGTGGAGCAGTTGGGGACGTGTGAAGGGCGACCTGTAAGTAGAGAAATAAAAGCAAGAGAAAAAGTTTTCTTAGTGATATGCTATTATTAACGTACTTCAAAAATATGAGAAGGTTATTGATTCGTCGGAATATTTTTTTTATGAATGTTACGGCATAACTTGGGACCACCATAACCCATTTGAAAGATAGTAGCTCAGAGATGGTCCCATACTAATTTGGTTTAAATCTGATTATTGGATCGTGAAGAAATTAACGGTACTCTTAAATTTTTATATGAGGATTGAAGTCGGTTTTGTTTTTTGTTTAATGTTTAATAAACTATTAGGTTTGAACATTTTTTTATTAACATGAATCATTCAATTGGGTAGAGTACTCAGAGTGACGACGTTCATATCCCATTGATTTCAAGCAAAAGTCGGATGAAAAGATATCTTTAAAAAGCTGCTCGGCTATAACTCAAATTTTCGCTTATTTGGCAAGATTTTTTTTCCAAAAGCAGGCTTCTAGCCTAAATACATTTACTACATACATACACTATTCACGAATATTTTCATGGGCAAGTTTTCGCATAAATTATTTAAGGAAATATATGTAGTTCATTCTATAATATAAACCATATAAATCAAAGTTTCACACTTTATATAAATAATAATAATAATAATAATAATAATATAACAAATATTAAAAAAAAAATTATCAACATTTTTATTCAGAGCTTCTACTCAATTTTCGAGTATGCAGTTTTGCAGCCGATTCAATTTTAGTCAAATGAAGCGCAAGTTTCAAACGGATTTTTGCACATAAGCATGACTTTTTTTTAAATAAAAAGCGAGTGACCGTTAGCAACAAAATTTCACAAAACTCGTTATATAAAAAAAACGCAAAAACAGTCTCAAAAAAAAAAATTCTCAAAAAGCAACGCTATTTTTTAATTGGTTTATGGTTGAATGGGCTACAAAACTGCGTACTCAGAAACTTTCTAGAAACTCTGAATAAAAAGTTGAACACTTTTACGAAAATTTTTTGAATTGTTGTAAACTTTATATAAAGTGTGAAACTTTGATTTATATTGTTTACATTATAAAATGAACTATGTTTTCATAAATTATTAATGCGGAAAATGTTCATGAAAATAATTGTGAATATTATATTAGAACAAGGTGTACACTTTCATCTGCCGCCTAGTGCATGTTAATATTTTCCTTTGAATTAATTTAAATCGATCTTTAATTTATTTATTTTTTATTTTAAGTTTGTTTATTTTTTTATTATTAGTACTTGTTTTATTAATATTATCTCATTTTACTTTAATTTATTTTATTTTTTGCTTTATTTCATTATATTTTTTCCATTTTATTTTTTAAATTATTTAATTTTTGTCTTTATGTTTGCAAATTTTTCACTCCGTTTTTATTTTAATATTTTTCATTCATTTTTATGTTATTTTTACATTGTGTTTTAATTATTTTCCTTTAATTTAATTTATTTTACTTGAATCATTTAAAATTCTATATCAGAATTTATTTCCATTTCTTCAAATGAAATCGATTAATATACATACATAATACACGCACATCGGTACTACGCACACACGGAAGTTAAAAACAATTCACCATTAAAATGCTTACCGTCTCTGTGACTTGGCCGTTGCCCAACTGTCCCCATTGTCGCCACCACCGTTACTGTCGTCTGCCATGTAATTCCCCTTCGCAAGCTCCAGCTCTTCCGCTCACATACCTTACACAAGGACACAACTTGTGCTTAGCGACATAAATCAAAGAAAATTTTAGGAAAATCTATTCCAACCGTATAAGTTGGAAATGTATTAGAGATAAAAAAATATCACAGCTATTTCGTAAAAAGTTATCAACGCTTCAACGTGGTAACTTTAAGAAAATTTTGATCGACTTGTACTAAATATCAAAAAATTTCGACGTTTTATATTCGTTTTCGTTCGCTGTAGTACTTAAAAATGAATTTACGCAATTTGCCAAATTGTTCAGCACAATTTTACGTAAATTGTTTTCCCCCCAAGCTGAATTGCTCATCGCTGAACAACCCAGCACTTTCTGCTTTTCCCATTTTCGTTGTACACTGTTGCGGTGCTATATATCGACTAAACCAAAAGTGTACAAAATTTTCACAGCTACTCATAAATATTGTATTTTTATAGCAGAGGCTCCTCTATCCGCATACTTGCGCACAGACAAAAACACATAAATGAAAGTAAATACTATATAGTATTTACTAAATCGGCTTTCAGCTGTTCGCTCGTTGCTTACGACAAGCAAATTTTCTTTCACTCAAATGAAGCAAAGCGCTCAAATTGAGTGTAGAATTTACAAAACAAACAAAAAAAAACACATTTAAATTGAGTAGTAAAATTTATAGAAATTTTGTGTTGTATACAAATTCTCTACACTGAGTCAAAAATAAAGGAACGAAGAGCCAAAGCACAAGTGAATTTCGCTCTTGAATTGAGTACAGCTGCAGCTCTTTGGCTCAATATGTATGAGCGTACTCACAGGGCCAAGTGCCAAGGAAGAACGGGTTTCGATGCAGCTCCTATTTATTTACTTGCTATATACTTTGCACATGCATGCATACATATGTAAATATACCATGGCACATATAAAAAAAATTTAATGTTCCGAGCCGGTCTGTGTGCGCTAAACAGCTGTTTTATGCCCAATAAATACAGCAACGTGCCCCTTTTCTGTACAACGAGCAGCCAACGAGAAGAGAGTCGTACAAAGCGCCTACAGAACCCATTGCAAAACTGACGGAGAAGTGCATATATATCTACATATTTTTTCTTCGTTTGACAAGGGTAAAAATAAATTCTTTTTTTTTCTGATTTTTTTTCAAACAAAGCCTTTATTAATTCCTCTTTATATACAAGTTTATAATTACACGCACACAAAACAATGAATACCCAGTTTGACTCAGGTATTGTCAGCATTCTGCTCACTTTTCAATTGCTTTTTATACACCTTAACCTTTTCGAAAACATGTGAGATTATGAATAGTTTAGTATCCTCCTGTTCTTCCTCCGGTAGTTCGGCTAGCTTGCCACCGATTAATCGATAGAATGCCTCATTTTTATTATCCGCCGTTAAAGTCGTCGCGCTTTGCTTCAAAAGCTCTTCCGTATTTTTCATAAAAGTTGCTAAACTTTCTTTCAACTCATTGAATTTTTGCTGTAGCACTTCAGGGGCCTCAGTTGTAGGAGTAGGTTCCGGTTGCAAGGTCTCAATTGTGGCTATTTCAATTGGTAATGTATCACTGCAATTATCTTCGTATTCAAAGGACGGCAGCGACATGAGCGACTCGTCGATCATACATTCAGGCTCGGATTTTTTAACTACGAAATCGTACGTATTCCTGGGAGAAATCATAAAAACAAAAACATTATCAATGTTACATACATATGAATGTAGGTATATATGTATAATAACTGCTCTATTTATTCATTACGTTCTGGGTTGTATGTAAGGATTTAGAAACGCTAGCTGCTCGTACATTGCCCAACGAGTTTCAAACTTGTTAAGTTTTTTATTTCCAGCTTTCTTGGCCATTAATTTGACATAACGATCCCTAAGTACACGCCAACGTTGGTAGCATTCATCAGCTGCGAGCATAAATTTACAGTTACTTATTATATGTATATAAAAATGATTATTCAAGTCTTAAATATGTACATAAATATTTCACCTACCCGATAACTCCATAACATCAGCAATCTCTGCCCAGGCTCTTTGGCGCAACTTCGAATCCCGGTAGCCCGCTTGACCTTTCGCGTAGAAAAATGGCCGCTTACGTACTTCCTCTATTAATTTGTTATCCATATCTTTGGTTGACATTTAGCTACAAATTTATTCTGTAGTATACCTAAATTTGTACTACTTGAAAAGCTTAAGTCACACACACATACTACCGCTTTTCTCTATAAAAAATAAAAAAAAACTCCACCATCTCCAGCAGAAAAACACGCACGTTCTAACTCAGCCACGTTTTAGGAACAACTAATATTTATTGTATCTATTCCGTTTTCATGCGTTTCATGCGCTCTCAAGCCGCATCGTGAAAAATAAAGCAGGCAGTTACATATGCGTCACAAAATTAGTGCCGCATTAAAACGCACTCAATTACTTGTATATAATCTCTAGTAGTGCTCTCGTTGACAATTCTCGCTCTCTTTTGTGCAGAAATCAAGAAGTTGTTTATGTTTTTATTTTAAGTTTCATGGGGTGGCTTCCGGGCAAGTTGTGGTGATACGAACCTCTTTCCATAGCTACATATACATATATACGTATGTATGTACATACTTCAAATAGATACATTGCATAGCTGTGTGTAGTTAACATAGGCAATTTTGCAATACTCCTCAAAGTCTGCACATCTGATCACTCAATTGGCAATACATATACTTCGGCCACTGCAGCCGGACAGATGTATATACATATATATGTATGCGTCTATATCTTATCGCTTCGTATATGCTCAGCTGTTGAGCAGCTTTGGACTCTATTTCCTTTTGGTATAACATTTAACCTTTGTTTTATCGCATTGAGGATTATGTCTTTTGATTTCTGGATCTTTGTTTGTTTGTTTTCGAAAATCGCATATTTATGGGACCAAAGAATGGGAAATGAATTTTAAAGGTCGAGGGATGGCAAACAAGGTGGTGCTACCAGAACAGATATACATACATACTTTGTATGAAAAAAACATAAGTGCGCCTGGGCAAAACTGGAGAAGTGAAACTTACGTTACATACATATCGTTTTTCATATGTACGCACATACATACATCTGCTTTTGCTTAAGGTTATATTTTTTGTCTTTTTTCTATCCAGATCCCTACCTCTACCCCTNGGTCGAGGGATGGCAAACAAGGTGGTGCTACCAGAACAGATATACATACATACTTTGTATGAAAAAAACATAAGTGCGCCTGGGCAAAACTGGAGAAGTGAAACTTACGTTACATACATATCGTTTTTCATATGTACGCACATACATACATCTGCTTTTGCTTAAGGTTATATTTTTTGTCTTTTTTCTATCCAGATCCCTACCTCTACCCCTATAACAAAATCGATAAATATCGATCACAAAATCGATAAATATCGATAACAAAACCGATAAATATCGATAACAAAAACGATAAAAATATCCATAACAAAGTCGATAAATATCGATAACAAAATCGGTAAATATCGATAACAAAATTTAAAATTATCGCTAACGAAATCGATAAATATCGATAACGAAATCGGTAAATATCGATAACAAAATTAATAAAAATATCGATAACCAAATCGATACAAAATATCGCCAATAAAATAGTTAAAAATATCGATTACAAACCCGATAAACAATCGATAACAAAACCGATAAAAATATCGATTATTTTATCGATAAGTCTCGAGAATCGCGAAAATCTCTAAAATCCCAAAATAATTCCCAGATTGAGTCTGTGTTTCTCTCTCTATATCTTTTCCTTTTTAGTTACCTTTATTTTAATCTTTCTTCCCCTATCTTCATCTTTACTTTTATCGGTATCCTCATCCTCATCTTTGTTTTTACTTTTATGTTTATCATTTTCTTCATCTACATATTCCCCTTTACCTTTGCTTTTATATATATAAGGAAAGTGTTTAAATTTACCTTGATCTTCATTTTTGCCTTTATCTTTACGCATCTTTGTTTTTGTTTTTATTTTTACTTTTGCCTTTATCCTTTTCTTTATTTATGTACTTTCATTCGTGTATTGGTCTTTTTCTATTCTTTAACCTTTTATTGGCAAATTTTTGTTAAATTAATACCATATGCATACACACAGTTAGCACTTATTTCAGCCCCAACCATTTCCGTCNTTTTGTTTTTATTTTTACTTTTGCCTTTATCCTTTTCTTTATTTATGTACTTTCATTCGTGTATTGGTCTTTTTCTATTCTTTAACCTTTTATTGGCAAATTTTTGTTAAATTAATACCATATGCATACACACAGTTAGCACTTATTTCAGCCCCAACCATTTCCGTCGCATCATTTCCGTTGCGCCATTTCCGTGTGCAATTTCCGTTGAATTTGCCAATTTACTGCCAACCAACCAACCGTCGCTAAAGAAGTTGCCAAAAATTAGTCTTACCGACTTAAAACTGCACTTTATTATACTAAAATTTAACGACTCTTTTTAACAAATTTTACGGGGTAAAAATCTCGAGAAGAATATCCTACAAATTTGTTATGTTACTATAAGGATACTTTTCAGGGAAAAGAGTGTGGAAAAAATTTGCAAAATTATTTTTTGTCCCGTATTCGGCTTTCATAAATATGGTCACCGTACATATACATACATACATAAGTATGTACATATTTTACGATTGCTCGACTGCTGCTACTCTGTAATTGCTGTGAGGAGATGCGTACAGCAAAGGTCATGAATAAATTGCCATTCTGAAATGAGATTTGTTTCCTTGATTTTGCCTCAGCGCATTTGTTGTACGCATTCCGTCTCACCTGCTCCTCCGCTCCATACCTGCAAGGGCGTTCGTCGTCAAATATAGTATGGGCTGTTGGTGTGTCACTGTGTACAAGCTGGAAGCGCCTCCTTATCCAAATTGCTATTTTTGTACAAATGCAAAAGAGCGGAGATATTAACCAGCACTCTGTGAGTAGCAGTTATAGTGCTTATCATGGCTATACGACACTCACATATTGGATTTTATTATTTTTTAATTTTGGTTATTTGTGGTTCCGCTTTTCATCGACTTTTTTCCTTTTCCGGATCGGTTTTTGGCTGGCTGGTTAAAAATTATCATTCTTAAACAAAAGCCATGTATGTATATATGTAAATTCAAGTTTCAATCTTTGTGCGATGGCTTCCTCAAGTGGGCCCTGAATTTACCAAGATTAATATTTTTCAATGATACAAAACTCGGCGGTGCCTGAAAAATCATTGAAAAATTTTAATCTTTGTAAATTCGGGGCCCACTTGAGGAAGCCTTACCCAATATGAAATAAAATCAAAATTTAGAGATTTTTTATAAGATTCTTTAGAAATATTTTGGATATGCAGGTTTGTAGCCCATACAATTCATATAAAAAATCACACTTTGTATGGAAGAAAATGATGGACATCGCAAAAAAAAAAATTAAAAATCAACGGTAAGTACCAGCCACTTCAAACTTGAAAAAAATTGAATGGGCTACAAAACTGCATACTCAAAATATTTCTAAGAAACCGAATTAAAAAGTTTGAAATTTTTACGTAAGTTTGTTGATTTTTTTTTTTTTTTAATATAGCACAAACTTTGTAACTTGGATTTATACGGTTTTTGTGAAAGAGTGCACTATTTTCCTATAAAAAGATAACCAAAATTAAAAAATAAATAGTCAATATGTGAGTGTCGCATAGTTATGATAAGCACTATAATATAATTTACTCGTGTTTCTTTTTTTGTCTACTTTTTAAATGATTGTAGACGTTAAGTTTAGCTAGGTTTTTGTGCTGTAACTATGTCGATTTGGCTGATGTAATATCTTATATTTTCAACGGACATTTATACTGCTAATGATAAGTCTCATGCAATTGCAGTTACCACCCACTAAAATGCTTAAGGTTCACATTCCGCTAATCATAAGTACACATGTATGTATGTATGCACATTAGGGTGGTTCTGGTCGAAGATATCACAGATAAATTTTGGTCCCGATTGGAGACTGTTACAGGCTGAATTAGTAGTGCCATACCATAGCCATAACCATAAAAACAGCAATTAAATGTTCCGATAAAACGAACGGGAAGTTCTGTAAATGATTATTGGTGTCATACTACAACGCCAGAGCCATAACGATAACCGCAGGTATCTATTTAATTTTAGTTTTTCGCCATACTCGTAAGCAGCCCTGAAGTATTTTGCTACGTTATGGCTAAGGCGCGTTATGGTTATGCCCCCTCTATTTTGGCCTTAAGGCGTGACCGTGGTATTACCGATTGAGGGGTTGTAAATAAAACTATCGCTCATTTGATTTTTTAAGGGCCACCCTAATGTATGTACATGCATAACTAATGTTTGCAGCCTACTACATAGAAATGTATGTAAGTTCGTTTTTCTTAGAAATTTATCGATAATTCTTAGAACTTTCAGCAAAAATAATATGTAATACATTAATAATTTTCTAAGTGGAACTATATAACAAAATATTGCCAATAATTAACAATAAAACCCACATTTTCATGAAATATTTGAATAGTTTTATTTTTCACAATTTTATTTGCTTGATATCGATATCGTTGTTTATTGATTTTACTCAAAAATGATATTCACTTTATGATCAGTTGCTTGATTTTTCTTTATGATTGATACGTATATTTAGTTTGGATTAGTTGTATGCATGTATTATGTCATATGCTTTGATTAGTTGATGCTTGATTTTTCGCTGCAATATATGTTTCTGTATGGATAACAAATTTATTGCTGTAATTTTAATTTTTGGGTTTAACAAACAATCCAATCGCTCTAAACTCATGCTTCTTTTTACATAAGAAATTTTTTGGATTTTTCAATAAGGACTTGATAACTTGAATCCTTTATTGCTAACACACCCTTAAACCAAACACTGAACTGCCAACATCAAAGCTTTCAGTGAATATGAAATTTTCATCATGGTGTAGAACACCGAACGTTTCTCGAATCTAATTTCAGAGTTTTCATGAACAACACATTTCATGCCGGTCGAAATTTTTATGCAAATTATATTTTTTCCATACGTTTGAATGGAAGGCCAGTTCTGAAATTACACATCAATACTAAACTAAATTATTTCAAAATTTCTATATTTCAAATAGCAATGGAGTTCTAAAATTAGCCACGCTAAGTTTTCACAGTTTTGAAAGTTGAAAAAACAAAGATCTGAGTCTAAAAATATGCAACATCTAGAGAACACACGTGCTCTTTCACACTGCCGAAATTCATCTGTTTCATATTAAATATTGAACTTTTTCTTTTGCATATTTTTAGGTACACTTAAGTTAGTATTTTTTGAAAGAAACAACACAACAAAAGCCATGAAGATTATAAAAAAGAATAAAAAACGTATGTATAGTATGCACGTAGTTACTCAGACAAGTGTGAACATGTTGATTTTTAAACGACTTCAAAAAAGGAGGATATTAATTGGTTGGAATATTTGTAAGTTACCGCTTAACTTTGGACCACGTTAACCGATTTCTATAAATATTATTTTTTTTTAATGAAAGGTGGTACCTCCGAGATGATCCCATACCAACTTGTTTAGATCCGACCATTGGATCATGAAGAAATTAACGGTACTCTTAAATTTTTATATGGGAATCGGAAAGTCGGTTTTGTTTTTTGCTTAAAAATTACTTGCTTTATACATATATTCAGAATGTACTTCAAGCTACAATTTTGTTGTTTTTATATAAAGATATTGGGGCCATATGAATAAAAGCTAAGCGATTGCTTTTTATTAAAAATGCAGACCTTTTTCTCGATTTATTCAAAGTAAATTTAAGTAAAAGGTCTGAGTTGTTATTCACACGGCCCAGTGTTTATACTTTTTTTTTTGTTTTTTTTTTTGCTGACGGCTTTTTGCCCTTTTTTGCATAAAAACACCCAGAAGATAATTTACGATGGCCTTCATAAGTGAAGACATTCTAAAATGCTTACCAAAGAAGCACTTAAAAATTGCTTCCCTGCATTCCTTCTAGGCGGGCATGTCCTATTTATAATTTACGTGAATGTATAAGTTTGTATTATTTACCATTACAAATGAATTTCAATATACATTTTGAGTAGCAATAAACCATATTTGATATAAGCCTAAAGCCGCTATTTTAAAAATGTGCGATTTTTATGAATTAAGGAAGCAACTTTAAAAAAAACTCCTACAAAACCCCCTTGGAAAGGATTCTATGGGTAGCGAAAGCAGAAACCCTTCAATTTGTGTCACTCCATACCAAAAAGAAAGGAGAAAGGAATGTAGAGTGGAAGGCTTCTTCACTCTCAGTAAGGGATTTTAACTCCTTAAATTATATACTGGGCATGAATTTCTTATGGAATAAAATGTCGAAGACCGTTCGCAAAAAAATTACAATAATACACTTGCTATACCTATATTAAAATAAACATATTAAAAATCAACTCCATAAAACTTGCGCTTTATTGTTCTTAAAAACTGCACATTCAAAAATTTTATAAAAATTTCTATCAAAAAGTTAAAAATTCTGACAAAAGCTTGTTGAATTTTTCTATATTGGTTATAAGTTTATTTTTGGTTAAAGCATAAACAATATGTTTGTAAAAAAAAATTTTGAATTGGATTGATGATTTAAAGGAATCAACATGTGAACACTTGTGTGAGTCGCCATATATGAGCGAATCTCTCGAGTTTATTCTTTAAGTGTCACTAAAAAAACGCTTAAGCATGCTTCTTTCATTTATTTCAATCAATGGAGTTTCAGAAATAAGTACAAAAAAGAATCAAGTACAGTTTTAGCCCTTAAACGTTTATTTATGCGAAGACGTTCCGAAATTACTCATTTTTTCATTGTCACTCAAAAAATCATAATTGTAGTTTTTAATAATTTTAACAAGTCTTCGAATAGAATGTTCATGTTAGAGGCAATGAAAGTGTGGGCATCAAATACAATATATCTGTGAAGTTCCTAGAGTGTGCAACCAAATTAAAAAATATGACAGCATGCAGAATATCTGTCGGAGCTATTTTGTAATTTTTGAAATTTAACAATTTTAAAAGTTTAAAATGTTAAGCCACAAGCTATTTCGCTAGCTACATCAGTAATAATACACCACAACCACAGCTACATAATGTGGGCACTTTCGAGCATTTAGAATTTAACTTTTTACAGCTCTTGCTACATACCACAACCTCACCATTCACACGTTTTTGTCGAAGAATGTAACAGCTCGTGGGTTTGCTCATATATGTATGTATGCCTTATTTATTCCTGGTCGCAGTACATTCCTCAACTGAAAATCAATTGCATGCCTTATTCATAAGAGTGATAAGGTCTTAAAATGTTTTGAAAATATTTTTCTCAACAATTGTATTGAGTTTGAGGCCGCTTTTTAATGAAAACTGTGATGGAAAAACAATAATAATTCCACAACATTTTCGTTAAAAAACGACCTCATGCTCACTAAAGCTGTTGAATATAATTGTTATTAGGCCAAAAATTACAATGATATTTTTTTTCTTTTAAAAGAATTTATTCCTTAAGAGGTTGTAGATTTTAATTTTAAAAACCACAGTAGATAATATGTAACGGGCTCAGCAAATGTCAATTACGGTTAATTTCTTGGGTTATTTTTTCCTTTTTTTTTTAACTTTTTCCTTGACACAATTTGATATTTTTAGATGTACTCATAGGTATGTAGTATGTATGTATAAATGTATGCGTTTATTTATGATTATTAAAATCTAGCAGCACAAATTTATAATGTTTAGCAATGTGTTTATTTCATTTTTGCAATTTCTTTTCACAATACGTATGTATTTCCTTAGTTCATTTGGCATTTTACAATTCATGTACATAATTTGTAGTTATTGTATTTAACAGCTAAATTTGTATGTAATAAATGTTGTATTAATTTTTTGAATAAACTTTAGTTTTCCACTAACACATGCTTGTTGACTTGAGTCGATACTAATTAGCATGCTTTAGAAAATATATAAGTTTACAGGAGTACAGCACGCTTGCTGTTTCGTAGTATGTAACTTTATTTGTTTTTTTCTTTGTAATCATATCTAACAGTCGTAAACTTAATTAGTGTGGCTTGTTTATTTAGTTGTTGTGTAAAGAACTTAAAAAAGCAATTCAGAAAAGATATATATATATATGTATATATATATACATATATATTTTTTTATAAAACTTGAATAGAACTATACATATATTTTTTCATTTAAAATGGGGAAAATATTTTTGCGGTTTTTTAACATACGCATACGGACATACACATGTACATGTATATTTTTTGGAGACGGTTCGCAATTATTTTGCGGCTGGCAATTATGTATGACAGTTTTTTCGGTTAATCGGCAGTCAAGCAAATAATTTTCCAATCATTTTCTTGAATTAAATTACTTAAACCTTTTATTATTTTTGACTTAGGTGTGCGTGGCTGCAAGAGGGCGGTCTAAGCGCATGTCAAGTCAGCAGCAAAGAGATCAATGACGGATTTTTGCAAAGAAAAATGGACTTTTTAGTTTTCGTTTGCCTTTTGTTTGTTTGGCTGTCTGACGCGACTGGACGCATGCACATATGTACATATACGTATGTATGTATTTAGAATATATACATTTACAATATGCGACAGAAATGGTTTTGCGTTGCAAGCCACTCACCCATATTTTACCAACACCATAAATTTAATGTTTTAGATATTTTTATGTTTATCAACATTAAAGCTAACTACTTGCATGGACTTACACACTACATATGTACATATGTATATGTAAGTTCCTGTTTAGTTTTTGTTTGTATATGCGTGGTGTATGTATGTATGTATGAAAATAATCAAAATTAAATATACTTTCTCTCGAGGAAAATTGCCAACATATACAGAGTGTTTGCGGAAGTATGTAATATTGCAGAAGACTTTTTACACAGATATTAAATTTTTAAAAAGGCACTTTAAATCATTTAAATAACTTGAGGAAAATAATATCCGAGTTATGTCTAATTTCTGGCCAATAAGTTTCATTTGCAAGTAAAATTTCCGAGTAGCAGAAATAAAAAAATCGCTACCTCAAATAGAGATCGCCAAGTAAGTGAGTGAATAACAGGTGTGCCTAAAAATATGCAACGACTCCGTATGTATTGGAACTCTTTTTTTGTTGCACATTTTTAATCACAGACGAGACGTTTTCTAGAATTTAATTGCCGGCCTCAATAGTCAGAAAGGCTGGAAAAATTAACGTTGCATTGTTATTCATGCTCAGACGTACATATTTGTTCAAATTTCGAAATTTTTAACCGTTGAAAATCTCTATTGCAGAGTTTTGGCAAATGGAATACCCATTGGAAATTTATCAGGACGCGTGCTGAGTCGATTTAGCCATACCCGCCTGTCTGTTGAACGTGCCGGGCCTTCCAGTTTTAGGGATATCCGCTGAAATTGTTGTATTATTGTATGAATCATTTGACGGAACCGAAAAGATTAGCTCCCATACAACTGATTGCTCAGATAAAAGAGTTTGCAATGAAAATCCTTCAATTAGACAGCTAACACCGTAAAGCTATTGTTAGCAACAGAAAATCATCAAGATCTGTGCTCTTTTTGTGATAAACTTCTTCATTTTAGTAGTTAAGGTACTTTTAGGTGAGATTTTCTAATGTTGATGAAAGATATGAACGCTTCGGCATAGCCAAAGACAGCACTGTCTTTAATTGTTATAAAGTAAATAGTTTTCTAAGCTTGAGACCTTTTTGCAAACAAACTCCAGCAAACAGTCTGCAAATATGAAATCGTGAAAGTGGCTTAAAAAGCTTTTTCTTTTAGCGCTACATGTTCACATACGTTTTTATTCATTTATTTTTTATTATATAACACTAAAGCAACGACTTATAAAAATTATTATTACAGCGCCTATACAATAGATAATGTAAAAAATACATAGTATAGTGTTGTATTAGTATGTTTGCAAACATATGCATTTCTATTACTACAAAACAAACATATGTACATACATTTGCATAAATATGTATGTAAGTGTTTCCTTGTTAAACAAAATCGCTATGCATCATACATGCTCAATCATAGTGGGTATATTTTTTTGTATAATTAGTTAGTATATCATTAAAAGCAGCATAACTTAATACAAAAATCAAAAAATTTAGTCGAGTATTTTTCATAGTTTTTCTATTAATACATTTCACACATTTACTATATAGTTCATTTTAGAAAAACAAAATCAAATCGCAATCATATATGTACATACATTTATATTTCAGCTTTTATTAGTTAGTATTTGCAGAAATAATTCTGAATGTGTGTGTTTTTAGTTTACTATCACGCATACACAAATAGCATGTGTATGGCTGCCATTCACAAAATAGTTGCATATTTATCTATGTATGTAAATCATTTTTTATTAAATATATTTATTTAGTTAATATTTTTCGTTATTTTTCAAGCTATTTCCTTTTTTCAAGTATCAAGCCAAGACAGCACAGCACGCTTGGAATACAGAACTTAGTCGCTTCACAATTCATTCACTTAGCATTCTCCATACGCTTAATTAACGTTTATGTGTTACATCTGCTTCTGTATTAGTTCTCATATTTAAATTTTTTTGTTAAACAATTACTATGAATAGAGTTCTCTCTTTAATTTTTATATTTTATATGTAGTAGTTCCTATGTATCACTTTTCAAAGCTTTTTCCTTTGCGCATTTGTTCGTATTTTAGCCGCCCATTAGTTAGCTTAAAATTTGTTCGCTGAATTTCCTATCTTCTTTTAAACTGGTATAAAATTGTCACTTGTCGCCAGTAGACTCGGGCTTAGACGCTTTCTTCTTCACCATATTCGGTCCATTGCTCGTCCAGCGATAGTTGTTGCTGCTTGAAAGGTGGCGGCGGCGTACGTGTAGCGCTGTTGGGAATAAGTCAAAAAGCGTAATGAATGAATTGTATTTAGAGGTTTTATGCGTATGATATTTTGCAATTGCAAATGCTTTCGAAAAAATGCAAATCAAATGCGGTAAAATGCAACTAATAATAAGTATATAATATGAAGATAAATTAAGATTTCAACTAATGTTTTTGGTTAAAGTATTGTCTGTTAGTTTGAGAGCTTAATGTACCTATATTTTTTATACCCAATGCAAAAAGTCAACGAAAAGAATGATTTGCTCTATTTGACACCAATGCAAAGCCTCTAAATAAATTGAATTTTGGAATGTGAGTGTAACCCGCCACCTACAGGGTATTGAGAAAATCAATGTCATTAACGCAATTTGATACCAACAACCAGAAGTTCAATATAACCTCTTTCGCGAAGGCTGTTTTAAGTGTTTAAAGAGCTAGGAATCATTAAGGCGATTCCCATCAGAAAGGTAAAATTAAAAAAATTTTAACTATGCTCTCAACAAATTTAAAAGAATAAAAATCTTGTTTAGATTATTATTTAAAAACCACTAAAAAAAGTATTGGATATAAAAAATCGTTTGCCATTTATTTGTATGAGTCAATATATGCGTTTGTGTTTTATGCTGTTATGTACAAATGTAAAATGTGTTAAACCAAGGCAGCAAATCAATGAAAGTGAATGAAATTAGCAGTGATAATGTAGAGGTTAGTCAGGTGTGAACTGCATTCTCAGGTATGTAAGTATGAATTTGTAATTGTATGCCTTTACTAATTTCCAACTTGAATGAGCGCTTTATTAGTACCAGAAAATTATGATCAATGTGACTGAAAGCGCGATTTTAATAGTAAATCAGTTAGTTAATTCAATCAAGAAATTTCACAATCACGCTACTTTGATAACAAACTGCAACAAGACAAACGACTAATGATTAAATGGAGCAAAAGTAAGTATGTATGTAAATTAAGAAGGTACTAACTACAGCAAATAAGAACGCAGTGAGCGTGTGTATGAAGTAAGCGCGACCACAGCTCAATAAAGCACAGCAACTACACGTAAGTAAGTGCTGGCAGGTATGCAACTTTTTAAATTTCTCTGATGCGATTTAATGAACTGCAGATGAACAACTCATTTTTTCCGCAAATCGTACGGCGAGCATTAGTTAATGTAAAATGACAAAAATAAAATGCATCAGCAACAACAAGAACAACAGCAAACAGTTAATGTTGAAGAATGATGCCGAAAGTGGCTATTGATGGTTAACGCTGAAGCCACTACAGCCTTTAATGCACCATACAGAACGTGCACAAAGTGAACAACAACAATAACTAATGATGACAGTAAGCAACTAACTCGCTTCGTTGCATTCATTTGTAGCGCTTGATTTACTGGTTCGTTGTTGTTGAATATAACAGTTCGTTTAATTTGTTAAAATATGTAACGCCTAAATATATGCATCTACGCTTTGGCGACTGTTGCTCTCGGTGACGACCTTCTTCATTTTCCATCTGATTTGAATTAACGTTCTTAGTTTTCGAATTCGCTTGTTCGCTCGTTTCGCTTCACTTACTTCTTGGTAGTTTCGGTTATTAGTAGGTAATAGAGTTTTTCTTATTTTTCGCATTGTTTCGTTTTGTTTAGTTTTCTTGTTGTTTTTGTCGTAGCTTTACCCAAGTCCCCACTACCGCGCTAGACGCCATGGGCTTGCTCTTTCTTTTTTCGCTTTGTTTTTACTTTTCGTCTGTTGCTGTATTCAAAACACACTGCGTTCCTTGCATTTAGCGCCTCACAATCCACACTTGAATGGCTTAATTAGCATTGCTAATTCGCATGCCAATCAAAAGTTATAAACAGTGTTAATCGCTCAAAGTGGTTTGCAAAGCCGACGCCAATAATTTGCAAGGAGCAGGTGACTAATGATTTTTTTACGAATATTTCTTAATTGTTTTTCACTTATATGCTGACGTTGTGGTTGGGATTATTTTGTGGTAAAATTGGCAATAGGTATAACAATAAAGTATTTGTCGTTTGTCGTTATGCTTAGAAATCAGTTATAAGCAACCCTTCCGGTCATAATTGCCCACGGCGGTAGGGAGATCGTGATGGCCTAGAAGGTGGCAGGTAGTAAACAGGTGTTGTATTAGGGTATTGGTAGGTGGTGATTTATACGTTGGTGATGTTGAAGTTGATTGTTGGTTTTGTAAATTTTTATTTTTATTTTGTATTTGTATGTATGTCGGTTTTTTTGGTGGTCGGTGTGGTGAATAAATTAGAAAGAAATCATATAGTAAGTATGGTAAACAAGTGAATAAAAGCAAAATTGTTGAGTTACACTGCAATAAGCGGTTTGTTGTAAAAAATATTGCATAAAGTATGGCATAAGATTAAGTATTTAAGTGTACAATGAGGTGCAGAGGTATATAAAATTCCGAAACCGAATTTTGATATGAGGAAGCGGATTTTAAGAACATGAGTTTTCGATAAGAAATTCACGTGTGATTTATGTTAAATAACACTGGATCACAAATTTTAGTTTGGTTTTTGTTCGCCAGACGCCAATATCCAATTTCTATGTAGAATATTTACCGTTATTCCACTTAAAACAAAAAATGGTTCCACTTAATCACAAATATCTTAACAATCTTAAAATGAAAATCAAAGCTAATAAAATTCTCCATAAACCATATATACATCACTTTCCGATAGGACTGATAGTTTCTGACAAATTAATTAATCATTCCAGTTTTTTATATTTTTTATTGAAAAAAGGAAAAAAATCAAACTTTAACAGAAGAAAAATTTAAAAAATAACAGGTTCTGTGCCAAATTTTTACATTTGTGCTAAATCCTGTTCTGTTACAACAAAAAAAAATCATGTTACTAATGAAGAAAAGCTATTGATAAATAAAGAAGTAATGAGTGGTCNCGCAAGGATTTTTTGTATGAAATATGAGTAGAAAAGCGTGTTGCTCAGGTGTACGTGGCGTATGAGTAACTTCCTTTCCTGCTCATTTTTCATACAAAAAATCTTTGCTTATTTTCATTTGACCACTCATTACTTCTTTATTTATCCCTCGCTTTCCTTCATTAATACAGTGTTATCTGGCTGGAGTGAACACCCGATGCTACGAACACCTCGAAAGAGTGAACATGAAAATTTTTCCATTGAGTACTCTNAAATGCTGATGTGCCAAATGAATTCCCCGCATTCGGAGAAAAGCCCCATGACTCGCAGCATCTCTTCACATGCCCACTAAACCCCACCCTGCTAACGCCTCTGGCCTTATGGACAGACCCCATCGAGGCTGCACGCTTCCTGGGTCTACCGCTAATAGAGCTTGACGACAACGATACAACATCCACCGGAAACATGTGTTGGCATTAGCTGAGGGAAAAGACGACATTTCCGAGTACTTAAAAATTTAACTTCAAACGACGTACTGCGCAATAAAATTGATTTTAAAGAACAAAAAAACTCAATCTGGATATAGTGAACAATCTGCATTTTATGAACTGGTCTTGCATTAATTAGTTCACTCGACCCAGATAGCACTGTAATAATAATAGATTGGCGCTTACACATATGTTAGTGTTTGACCGAGCTTCTCCTCCGATTTGTGGCGTGCGCCTTGATGTTGTCACACAAAGCGGAGGGACCGAACGGCGATTGTATTGTTATGAGAAGCTGTTTTTCATGGCAGAAATACACTCGGGGGTTTGCCATTGCCTGCCGAGGGACGACCGCTGATAAGAAAAAACCTTTTTTCTATATTTTTGCGATGTTGCTTTGACCAGGGTTTGCACCCAGGCATTGTGGAGTGGAAGCGCGCGCACTGCTTACCACTACACCACAGCGGCCTTCATTAGTAACTGGCTAAAATTTGACACAGAACCTGTTATTTTTTTAATTTTTCTTCTGTTAAAGTTTGATTTTTTTAACTGTTTCATTAAAAAATAAATAAGAAAAACTGGAATGATTAATTTATTTGTCAGAAACTATCAGTCCTATCGGAAAGTGATGTGTAACTGTTTAATGGAGAATTTCATTAGCTTTGATTTGACGTATCTCATTTTAAGATTGTTAAATGATCGTGAGATATACGTGATTAAGTGGAAACACTTTTTGTTTTAAGCTGAATAACGGTAAATTGCAAGTATCACAAAAACGTATCCATAGAAAAAAAATTAACTCGATTTTTCGGAATCGCAATTCTACATGGAAATTGGATAGTGACATCCATTGAATATTTTTGCTATAAACCAGTGTAATTTAAGCCACGAATATTTAGTTAAAATCTTCAAATAGTTAGTTTTTTCTTGTCATATTTTTCATTAGTTTTATTAACTTTTTAACTAATTTTTTATACATATGTAATCCGTTTTTATTTTTTATTCTTTCAGATTTTATTTTTTATTTTTATTTTATTAATTTTTAAATTGGTTTTTATAAATGTTTTAGTTCAAAATTTAACCGATTCCGATAAAAGGAGCAGGAGGTTATCAACTTATCGGAATATTTTTTTGTAAGTTGACAATCAAAAGTGAATGCATGGTGTTTTTTTTAATATTTGCAATGTTTTTCAAGTTAAAATTTTTTGTTACTTGTTTATAAAAATATTGTTTATGCTTTAATTAAAACCACATACATAAGTCAAACTTTCAAACTTTATACAGAGCTTAGAATTTTCGTCTAAATTTTGACCTTTGTAATCTGATTTTTAATGATTTTTAATTGCTGACGGCTTTTTGCACTTTTTACCATAAAAAGGGAATTTCTTGTAGAATAAAATGCAAGTGACTGTTGCAAACAAAATTAAAAAATTAACGCTATGCACTTTTATATGCATAAAGCCGAAAAAATCATTTTTTAACCGCTTAAAACTTGATCCTCTTTCGCTCGAATTAAAAAAGCGATTTATCTGCGTACTCAAGATTTTTCTAAAAATTCAGATTAAAAAGGGTAAACTTTAGACGAAAATTCGTTGAATTTTTCTAAGTTCTGTATAAAGTTTGAAAGTTTGACTTCTGTGGATTTAACTAAAGCATGAACCATATTTAAAAAAAAAAATAACAAAAAAATTTTAACTTGAAAAACATGGCAAATATTAAACAAAAAACACCATGCACTCACTTGATCTACTGGTTGAATAAGGAAAAATTAATTAGCAACAAGAGTTTACGGGGTGTACATAGCTCAGTGATTAACGCTTCTGCTGAAGTCTAGAAACAAGAAGTCTGGTGAGGAGATGTGGTGATCTCCGAAATAGTTGCTATAACTTCTACCGCTTAGACTTTGTTGCTTTTTCAATTTTTCCTAATAAAAAATCGAGGTACAAAGCTTAATAAAAATATTAAAAATATAATTAATTTTTAATTTACTAATTACTATTTTTTCATAAATTTTTTGACGTTTGAAATTAAAATTTTTTGTAAACTTTTTATTTTCTGTCAATATTTTATGTATTTTTTAATTTTTGTTTTCATTTATTTATTTTTTTTTTAATTTTTCTCATTAGTTTTTCATTAGTTTTTGCTAATTTTTAAATAGATATTATTTTACTTTTCAATTTTAGGATTTACTATTATTAGTTTTTTCTTTTTAATAACCGCCACCCTGAAAAATGTTTAACCATATCATAAAAAACTGCAACCCAATTTGAATTTTAAAAGTTTTTGCATACGTTTTACCATTCACCTGGTCTAAGCTAAATTATTATTTCATATAAAAATAAAAAATGTAATTAAAAAATATAAAATATTATTTACAATTGTTATATACATGTAAAAGTTATCAAAATTCATAACTAATTTCTGAGCTCGTATTTCGTTTGGTGTATATTTTCTAGCTATGTGCGTGTGTATTTTGTGTACAAGTATGTATGTATGTATCAATATCTGAAATGTAAATACATACATACGCCGTGAAGTTACAGAAAGTCAATTTTAAAAATGTTTAAAATGCTTAATTTTTTTAATGTTATAGTTTTTTTTTATAAATTTTTATAATTTTTTGTGTTATGTAAAACTATTTCCTTAATTCATTTTAAATTTTTTTGAATTATTTTTTTATTTTTTTTTTTTTCATTTTTTTTTATAATTTGTGTGATCGATTTTGATGGATATTTACAACTTTTTCTGTTAAAAATAACCATCAAAATATTTCAAATAATTTTTTCTGTGTGCCAAAAAAAAGATATTTCAACGATGTGCACTGTATTAATTTGCTTTTAGTGCACTACTAGGCTAGCTTTTGGATCTACTATAATTTTTTATATTTATAGTTTTTTTGTGATCAGCTAAGCTTATTATTCCATCAGTGCCGTAACTAAAATCGATCTACCTATGTACGCTATACCTGTCTGACTGACACGCGAAACATTCCAAACGCATATGCATGTATGCACGGATGTATGTATGTTGCTTCTACCTACAATAACTGCTAAGTATTATCATAAACGTTTACTAAACAGCGGAATATAAATAAATAGACAATTTAAAATTACCTTAACAACCTGGCCTTAAGTACTCTAAACCTTGTGTCAACATAGGTAATACATATACAACACAGTTTAGAATCAATACCTTTCGCTCACAAACAGAATAAACACATACAACATATGTAATAAAAGCAACAAAATTATCAAGTAACTGCCTTACCTCTCGCATGGCATTTCGCCCATATTCTTGGCGAGCGTCAAACGTTTGGCCTCCTCCTTCTTGCGGCGATCTTCTGCTGCTGCCTTCATTGGATCGTACGTGGAGCGTCGCTTCCACATCGCCATTTCAGCCTCTTTTTGTTTAGTGACTGTAAAAATGTATATTGAAATAGAATTACGATCGAAAATGCCACTCACGTTTCCAACAAAATAAGGCAGCATAAAACCAAATGCATGCAAATGCATTAAAGCGTGATGGTACTCACCCGACTGGTCTCTACGCACCGCTGATGAGGCTCGACCACTGCCGCCACTGCCACCACCACCACCGCCAAGCGTAGTGCCGCTGGTGGTCATGCACGAAGCCACCGAGCGTACACTGCGATTGCTGGTGCGTGTCGGATCCGCACGACTCAACCCCATCGATGAGCTACTCGGACTACGTTTCATCACATCGCCGGCCAATGTCGATGTCTTCAAAGTGCTTTTCGATTCGTTCTTGCGTAGAAAATTATTGCCCTGCACCGGTTTGTACTTCGAAATGTCCAAATACTTGGGTTGCACGCGTTGATTTGTCAGCTTCGCTGCTGAGGGCACGGCGGCGGCGGTTTGCAGTAGCTGCTTCTTCGCCGAGGCCAAAGAGTTGGGTACCTGTGATGCCAACCGACTGAGACTGGTGTCACGCGGCACTGACTGACGCGCCGTTGCGGCGCCGGCTGAACGTGGTGCATTGCGTATGCCACGCCGTGGTAGTTCAGGCGTGTTGGGGCATGCCATTACGCCGCATGAACCGCCCTGCTGCTGCTGCAACTTCGATACGGGCGCTGAGGACGGCTTTCCCGAACCGGAACTGAAGCCGCCGCCACTTACACGTTGCTTGCTACGCTCGATGCGCATCAGTAACGCCTTGTTGAGGCGCGTATTTGACAGAGGTACAGCTGATGTGTTCCCTGCTGCCGCTTGCATATCATCGTCGTGTTGGTAATAGTGCTCCGCGTCGTCATACTCTTCTTCGATCTCTTCAGCACCGCTTGAATAATACTCTTCGCCGATGTCATCCTCGTCGTTGATGTAATATTGGAAATTTTCATCGTAGTCCCCGATTGCTTGGCGGAAATTGTTGCTGCTTGCCGATTTTTTCATAATGCTGCTATTACTGACTGCCACCGCCGTTGCGGATTGCCCATCGCCGCCGCTAACCAGCGAGTAATTGTGCCGCGCCGCCGGTGGTGTGTAGATGTTGGAGAACTGTGGACGCGCCGCGCGCTGAGTCGTCGCTAATTTCGCCGAAAACGAACTGGAACGACGCAATGGCGACTCCTGACCACTTTGGCGAGCTTGCGCTTGTGCTTGTGCCTGCGCATTTGCCGCTGCCACTGCAGCTGCGCGCCGCGCTGGCGAGTTGCCAATATTGCCATCGAAGGAATTCTTACGCGCGCGCATTTGCCGCGACAGGTATTCACCGCTGGTGAGCAACTTCAATTGCTGCTCATTGAAGCTGCTCGTCATCAGTTGCAAATGCTGTGCATTGCGGCCGTATGGATCGTTCGAAGCGACACGCCGATGCAGCGGTGAGTAATGGTAGGCGCTTCCGCTGGCCGCAGAGGTAGGCGAGCCCAGTCCATGCTGGGGGCTGCCGCAGTCATCTGGCGGCGAGTACAGCGCTGAGGAATGGGCGTGCGAGCGTGCTGAGTGCGCACGTGGCGACGCTGAAGAATGTGTAGTGGGCGGCGATTTCAGCGAATTCTTGCGAGACAGAGACTGCTGCAGGTTGCTGATAGCAGCCGCTGTCTTTTGCAAATAAATATCCGCCTCTTCGTCGCCGACGCCGCCCTGTAGCAGCACATTTTGTAGCGGTGGGCGCGTACGACTTGCACTGCGCGCACGTCCAATCGAATGCAGCGGTGAGGGTATTTTCGAAGGACTCTTTGGTGGCTTGCAAATGCCCTCGGCCTTCTGGCCGCTGCTGCTGTACGCGCCGCTCGACAACGTTGGATCGCTTGAATAGTCACATTCGCCTGACAAGCGGTAACGCTCGGCTAGACTGCGATTCAGCTTGGCAGCGCTGACGCACTGTTTACTATTGTAAATGCTATCGTCGGTGAGCGAATCGGCAGCAGCTGTATCGGAGGCGCATGTGTAGCTGCGCGTCATCAACGCCGTATGCGACGCGTCGGCATGTACGCGCGTCTTGGACGTTTCTGAAGCGAGGCTGCGTGCACGCGCATTACGCGCCCACTCCTGTATCCAATCGTTTTTCGTTTGCGCCGTCTTCAGCACCGCCGCATCGGATAGTTTCTGGTGTGTTGGCGTCTCCGGCGGCGATTCAATGTAACTGCGCGTGGCGGCAAACTTCGCCTGTGTGTTGTCCTTTTGATTTGTAAACAAATTCAAACGATATTCGGCCTTTTGGTGGTCCGTGAAGCCGCCGCCTGCGTAAGCGCTGGCCGTGTTTGTCTTCAGCTTTGTCTCATTGCTAACATACTCTGAAGAATCGATTTGTGATGTGGACAACCCAGATTTGCGAGTCAGCCGCGGACGTGGATCGAGCGCGCTCTTCTTGGCCAGCACGCCGCTAGTTGTAACGCTCGTGAAGCAACCTAAATCACCGTCATCTTCCGTAGGCGTCTTCTCCTCGACTTCGTCCGCGACCGGCGGCGCAGACTTTGTTGCCGAGGCGTTGCGTAGCACACGTGACTTGATTTTCTCTAAGTATGCGCCAGCCGACTCATGCGAACCCAGTATGAGATCGCGCTCAGTGTAAGCGCGCGGCGATTGCGGCACTTGTTCCGCCTCCGCATCGTGGTAGTAGTTCACCTCGAGCACATTTGTGCGATTGTTGTTCACATGCACTGGTATCTTAGTGTTGCTCTCACACACACTTGAGCTGAGCTGCAAATTCTTCGGGCGCTGTTGTGCTTTAAGCGCCTGCTTCGCGCTCTTATCGATGTTCATGAGATCCTTCTCCTCCTCGGTGTAGTTATCGCCATCCAGCGTATACGTCCCCGTCTCACTAATGTTATCTGCCTCCAGGTTGTAGTTCTTCAATTCGGCAAGCGGGGGTTGCACGCACAAGAAGTCAACCTTTTGCAGCGCTAGTTGCATAGCGGTCGAGCGTGGCGTGAACTGCGTGCGATTCGCGACTAGGTTGACCGCGCCTTTGGGCAACTGTAGCGGCGGTGGCTTCTGCTTGCTGGCGTTTTTACGCGTTGGTGGCAGCGGCTTCTGCGCGCTGTTGGCACGTTCATTGGCGTTTATGTGGGCAGCGCGTGCTGCAGACGGTGTCTGCGCGTTTCGCGCATGCTGGCCGGGCCCCCCGTGCAACTGTTGCTCCTGTGTGCTGGAACGCGGTGACCAACTGTGGCGCTTGCTGGCATCCCGGACGCGCGACGTGCTACGATCACGCACACGCAATTTCACCTTCGACGCATCTCCGCCGCCGCCGAGAGCACCATTATCGTGTGAATTGTCTGCTGTGTTGCCGTTGTTGCGCGCACTGTGGCGTGTGTGGCCACTCAGCGGTGTGGCAGATACCGAGCTAGTCATTGTCGACTCCTTGTTGGCAGCATCACCCGCTTCCAGCTTAGACATGGAAGCGCCGCGTCGATGACGACTCTGAAAACGCTCCATCATGCTTTTGTAACGCGCTTTCGCTGTCTCCGGATCGCAGCCGCTGTCATTGAAGTTGTCGATTGTAAAAGCGTACGATTGTTTATTGGTTGTTGCTGTTGTTGTGGTATTAGTTGCATTGGAAGCTGATGAATCATCGTCGTGCTGTAACGATTCGCTATTCTCTGCACCGCCGCCGCTAACGATCAGCGCCCCCATATTGATGTCCGACATTGTGGACGGTGTAACACAACCACTGTCACTGCCGTTGCCGTCGGCACTCAGCTTGCTTTTGCTCAAATCGACAGTCGAACCACAGTCGATGCTGCTGCTGCGGCCATGGCTTTCTATGCGTTCGCTTTTGCTCAACATTTCTACGAAAATATAGGAATTGAGAGAAAAAAAATACAATTACATTAAGCGCATATTGCAATTATTAAGTGAAAACGAAATGGAAAAAACTGTGAACAAATTTTACAAAATGTACAAAAATGAAAATGTGCGCAAGTGATTGCGATTTGTGCAGCTTTGGAATCGCACAAGGCAGCCAGCCATTGGCTGAGTCGCAGCGGTGAGGTGGTGGGTTGGCGGGTGCGGAAAAGTGAAGCAAATGTACCAATTTGTTTCATACGCTTTGCTTTAGTGATTGTTTTTGATTACCCTCGAGCAACGATTGCGTACGCATGTTGTTTGTTACATTTGCTGTTGTTGCTTATTGGACAATTACGTTTGGTGTTATGGCACAGTGGAGCGGAAAGATACATTTACATACATACATATAGTCATGTGAAAAATAACACATTTTGACTATTTTCTTTTTTTGTTTAATGTTTATTATTATTTTATAAAAACATAACCCATAACTAACAAAACCCATATAAGTCCGAATTTCAACTTGTCAAAAATTAACGCGATTTCTTAGCCACTTGAAACTTGCACTTTCTTAAGCTAGAATTAAATGAGCTTTAAAACAGCATACTTAGATTTTTTCTTAAAGCTCTTAATAAAAAGTCGGTTGTTTTGGTAAAATGGAATTTTTCTCTTAAGTTTGATATTTGGACTTATATGGTGTTTGTTAGATAATGAACTGTATTTTGAACCGACTTTAAAAAAGGAGGAGGTTATCAATTTGTCGGAATATTTTTCTTTATGTACATTAGACTGTATCACCAAAAAAAGTTGCGGCTTTTCCGCCGGGATTACAAAATTTATAATATTTTAAGACGTCCACCAAAATTTTCGGAGAAATATTAAGATTTAAGCGAGCTGGACCGATTTGAAAATACCTCCAACAATGGAGTTTTTTATGAATAAAAATTATTTCTTAAAGAACTTTTTGAATAAAGTCCCCTTCAGATGACAAAACAAATTAGGCTAAAAAAATCTGCATAAAAATATTTGATGTTTTCACACAAAGTGGAGGGACCTACAGTTTTACGCCGACTCCGAACGGCGATTGTATTTTTTTATGAAAAGCTGTTTTCCATGGCAGAAATACACTCGGGTGTTTTGCCATTGCCTGTCGAGGGACGACCGCTGTTAAGAAAAAACCTGTTTTCTAAATTTTTTGCGAAGTTGCTTTGACCGGGGCTTAAACCCAGGCGCTGTGGAGTGGAAGCGCGCACTGCTTACCACTAAATACACCATAACGGCCACCAAAAATTACTTGTTATAAAAAAATAGCAACCATTAAACAATCAAAAGAAGAATAGCCAAAACTGGTCAAAATGTCGTGTCCCTAATATTTTTGGCGGTTATGGCTCGATATGTTGGCAATGCATGCAGCGCATTTTCAAGAGATTTTTATTTTGTATTGCATCAAATTTTTTAATCCAGTTTCAAAATCAACTACCTACTCTTTTTTGCTTCACTGAAGCCCCACTGCCGTTTCCTTACAGCCGCGCATAGCCAAGCCGTACGCGCATCTTTTCACACTTCAGTGGCTGGTGAAGTTCAAAGTTCGAACGCAACTCTCGTTTTACATTTCTTCTCCACTGAACTTTGCCTCGCAAGCGCCGATATTCCACTTTAGCTCATCAACGGGAACAGTGAATTTGTTTTTTCGACCATCTATCGCAGATTTTCTGCGTTTCACTTTGAGTTTTCTCTTTTATATTTTGTTAATTTTTTTTTTATATATTTTGCTAATAAAAGTAAAAACGTTAGTAGATAACAATTCCGTTTCCACTATAATTACGCGCAATCTCTATAAATGCTTATAATAAACAATTCAGCAATGCCCACGCACATATGCACATATAGATATGTATATTTATTGTAAATATAAACAGCGAAAAGGCAGACCAAGCATACACATGCTTACGGTGACCATATTTATGGGGGCCGAATACGCTATTTTTCGCACAAAAGCTAACAGATCTTAAAACTTTCTTCAATGATCCTAAATGTATTAGAGCTGAGAGACCACCCTTAAAGAAACATTTCAAACTTATAGGATATTTTTCTAAGATTTTTACCCCACAAAATTTGTTACAAAAAATTCCTCAAATTTTAGTACAATAAAAGTGGATGTTTGAAGTAGCTAGGATTTACGTTAATTTTTGGATTTTTTTTTTACGGCGCTGCGCGTTTTTGCGTACAAAGTATAATCGGTAATATTTTTAAAAGAGAAGCAAATGAGCAGCACACCTTGCACTTGTACTTTATTATAATAAATTTTAATGAGCTACACAACTTCAAACCAAATGTTTTTCTACAGATTCTGATTAAAAAGTTAGGTGAAACTTTGCAAAATTAGTTTTTTATAGTTTTTTTGCACAAAGTCGGAAGTTTGGATTTATATGGTTTTTGTTAGGAAAAGAGCTTTACAAAAGAAAAATAGCCAAACTTTGCCAAAATGTCGAGTCCTAATTTATATTTTGGTCACTGTATGTATTTCTCTATTCGAATCACAGGCATTCAGATTAGACCCTAATAACTTGTTATAGAGAAAATTACGATCATATACCAACATCACTTAAAACTGATTCATAGGCATACCATTTGAATGGACTGTTATTAAGGCATCGAAATGCCGAACACTGAATATGGGACAAATACAAGACATGCAAAGGAATACAGTTCATTTGGCGTCCCGTATAAAATAGAGAAATTACCAGGACAATTGGTCAAAAAAGAGGACTGTCCCATATAATACAGGACGGATGGTCACCGTACACATGCTACATATGTATGTACATATATAGAAATGTATATTTTATTAGATCTGAGTATGTAAGTGTGTAATTACCAATCTTATTATATCTGCGTTTTGCGAATGCTCTGGACTTGCTTGGAGCGTAAACAAACAAATGGAATGCGAAGAAGTGGTAATTATTTATATATTTTAATTAAGTAGCATTCTGCTAAATAGTATTATTACTAAGTAAATTACAATCATACATAAATTTCTAGTATAATTGCCAAGAGTATTGACTGAAGTTTTTGAATATGAAAATTGTATCTTAGTCAACCTTCTGAGCTCTTTTAAATAATCAAGGCAATTTATGTATCTCATAATACCTGCATTTATACAACCAGATCGACATTTTGAACCCAGTATAACCGCTGCAGACAAACCCCAAACAATAGCCGTCGGGGAGGGGCGCGTGAAGAGGCGTGATGTTGATATTGCTGGAGACTATTTGATAAAACTCGCGATTCAACTCTTTAAAAACCAAACAAAAATTAATCGCTTTCACAAATTTTGTCAAGGCAGATTTTTTTTTTTAATTTAACAAACAGCTGGTGTTAGCTCCGTTGTTGTTGTTGTTATTGTTGTAGCATCTTCCCAGCCTGCCTAGATTGGCTTGTCTCTCAATCGTTGTCGTCAAACTCAACTAACGGGAGACCCAGGAAGTGTGCAACTCCGACTGGGCTAGTCCATGGGGACAGTGACAGGACATAGCGATTCGCGAGTAGTGTGATGGGACACCCCGCATGCCGGGCACTCGTTGGGCACATCTGTATTTATCCTGCTCAAGTAGGAATTTAGCCTGTTGCAGTAGCCAGAGCGAAGTTGAGCTACGGTAGTGCGGTTCTACCGAGGCAGACGAAGCTCTGTCTCGTCCACGTTAGGTGGTTGTGTTCGGCAGTCGGTGTAAGTCGAGACCGGCTCCGTGTGAATCCCGTTGTTGGCCTTTCGGTATGCAATCGGGTCCAGAGGTTTTTTTATGAACCCCTGGATTTCGTCCGTCAGTTTGTATCGATTGCCTTCTGACGTGCCTAGGCGAGGGCACTGCTGCAATTGTCTTTTCGGGTGCCCGAGTCTATGAGACAGCGTACTAAGAACTGCAGAGCATCGTGTGGTGGTGCTGTGGCGACATAAGAAGGCATGCGGTTGCAGTCCCATAGCGTCGTGTTCTGGCATGTCTGTAGCTTCGTCCAATGCGTCCTGCTAGTCCCCGGCGAGCACACGGGCGCTGCATAGTTTAGAACCGGCCGGTAAATTGCTTTGTATGTTGCCAACAACTTTTCTTTGTATTTGCTCTAGGGGTTTAAGGCTAGCGAATTAAGGACCTGGTTGCTGCTCTGTACGATATTGACAATTGAGGTTGCATTTTCCGAGGAGAGCAGACTATCGAAGGTACTCTGAGAATTTTTTTGGTTATTCACTATCGGAAATGGTTCGCCATCAACGTGAATTCCCAGCTGTAGTCTGCCCTCCTTCGTCCAGGTGGTAAAAAGGGTTGCCGAGGATTTTGTGGGGGAGGGTGTTAGGCTTCTTGCAGTGAAGAAGCGAGAAAGTTTGGAGAGGTAACCGTTTACTTTCGAGCAAAAGTCATCAATTCCATTCCCGGACACCATTATCGAGCAGTCGTCAGCACAAGAGACAATAGAGACTCCCTCTGATTTTTGAAGGGGCTTTAATAATTAAAAAGCAGCAGGGAAAGAGCCCTTCTCTGTGGGACCCCCTGTTAGCTCCCTAAACGGTTTATCTTTAGTTCATAATAGGTGCATTCTTTTGCAACCGAGCTACAAAAGAACACGGCTATTTATCCGAGTTAAGCCAGGTCGGTTAAAAAATACTCGACCGGAAGGGTAGTGTTGGTAAGTGAAAAAACTGCTCTATTGTGAATTGTTAATGGGAAAGTGGAGAGAAAAATTTTTGTTTTCGTATATACATGATTTATATTTTCAACATTTCCCGTAAAAACGTAAGTCGGTTTGTTTACATGTCATTGGCACAACATTGATTTGGCTGAAATATAATTAAATATTTATCAAAATCTATACATATTCAAATATTTCGTTGTTTACTTCAATTTTGTTTTTACAAATATAAGGCGCTTTGCTTTCACCGCGTTCTGTTGTTGTTTACGAAAGTAACACTTTTCATAAGCTTACAGGGGAACAAACTGCGGACTAAATCGTG